TGAGCCCTGGGGAACACCGCTCGTGACCGGCCGCCAACTGGATTGAACTCCATTCAGTGTCTCCAGTCGTCTTAGCACGACTGATGTGAAGTTCAGGACCAGTTTCAGTTTTCAAGCCGATTTAATGTGTACCCTAAGCATGCAGCTGTGATGTGACTAAGTCTTTAAGGCGACAGAAAATGTAACCAAAAAAACCGGTGGTCCCATCCTTCCCTGACAGACTGAAAAAGGCTCCATGCGACTGCTGCTTTGTAACCACCAAAGGGCAGATGGGTCTCAGCTCAAGACTCTCAAGCTGTATCAATTAGTATCAACTAAGTGAGCTGAACACAGACTTAGAACCCAGGAGTCCTGGCTCCTGCTCCAATATTTAGATGTTTCCCTATCTCAAACTACCTTCTTTATCAGAGCACCACAGTTCCCTATCTCAAACTACCTTCTTTATCAGAAGAAAATTATGGCTTTCTTAATATGCTGCGATGCTTTACCGGAGACTACTGTCTTTGCCATCAAGGTATGATAGAAAAGAGAAGTTAAGATTTTCTGGAAAAGGGCATTTGGTGATATTGGTACTTCACAATGACACTGCTTGTACGAGTATTATTTATGTCAGGAATGAATAGCTGTGATGAAATAATTTTTCGTTGCTGTAAAGTTTTCAAGGGGCCATAGAAAGGCCACTGCAGTGCGCCCAGAATCTGTCAAAAGCTCCGTAATAAACCGCAGTATGCACATGACTAGCTGTGATGCGATAAACGCGCTGCTGACACTAGTATACAGATCCAGCTTCACAAAGGAGGGCTTTGCCATGGAGCCCTGCTATTCCCCTGGCCCCCCCGGTGGAGAATTTGTAGCATTTCATCTGCACTTCAGTTCCCTCCCTCCTCCCTTTCCTTGCAGTTCCTCCTTTTGTTTCACTGTACAGAAGAAACCAGTTTTCCAAAAAGCCGGCTTTCCAGAAGCCTGGATGTTAAATACCTCTCACAGCAGAGAGCAATTCATACGTAATAAAGGCACCTAGGGCAACAGTTGTAGAGGCGAAAATGCAATGTTTATTATAAGTTCCTTCTTTCCCAGAGGATGGTAGGTGAAACTGGGTGAAAAAAAGAAGGCGGCAGGATGGAAGCAATTCAAGGGTATGCAAACCAAAGCATGTGCTTTAGCTATAGGAGGTGTATGACATGTTGACTTCTACTTCAGTAGGAGAAAAAACCAACACTGTGGAGCTCTGCAACCTCTACAAAATTTGCAGGTGCACGTGGGCAGGCAGCTTTTACCCCCTTCACCCTGTGAAGTCCAGTCCAGGAACACCCATCACAACTTGGGGTGGGGAGTGGAGGCACAGCAGCCCTGCACCTGGCTGCAGGGGATTACGCACCAGTACTATTTACCAGGGAAAATTCACATCTGAGACTTTGTCCCCTACATGCTCCACAGGCATTCAGATCTTCAAAAGCAGCATGTGGCTTCAGAGCTTCCCAGAGACTTGGGTGCCACAGTCATTCAGGCATGTGGCCTGGTGCTACTGGCAGTTAACATCACTTTTTCTTTTGCATTACAATTTTCCCTTTTGTTGTTGTGAAGCTTTTTTTTTCTTTTTAAGCAAGAAAAAAAAAAAAAAAAAAGGGAATATAAACGGCCAAATATTGTCAGGGGACAAAGGAGCAGGAGCTGTGCTTTTTGTCTAAGTGGCTGGATTAAGCAGAATCTCTTTAGCAGTAATAGCAACGGCATGTAGGTATTAAGACAAAATTACCAGATGCCTAAGCAGTAGTTATTTTAATATGAGACCTTTTCAAAAGATGAAAACAAGAGACCTCTAAAAGGAATTATAATTAACAAGCTACATTTAATACTAAAAAGGGATCTAAAGAGCCTAGTCCTAATATTTAATGGCTGGAGGCTTTTTTTTTTTTCATTAAATCAGGAGCTTGTTTTTGTGTGTTGCTCCGAATAAAGCTCTCTCTAACTGCACATTTTGGAAAATGATTTACAGAGGAAAATATTGCTGGTACTTTCGGGTCAAAGAATAATCTGTTTGTTTCATTGAATTCTTGGTAATGACAAATTGTCCATGCCTTTGAGTAATGGAAGCTCCCATTTTTATTATCTAAAGCATTCATTACTCATATATTTAATGTACTGTTATAATTTTAAAATAATTTGCATAAAATGTTTTTAAAATTGCTGGCTCAAGTGTCCTGTTAAATTGTGTTGCCTGGTTTTTAATGTATTTAACAATGACTGTCTAACAAAAATATTCTTTATCAGGAGATGGGGGACACTGGAATGTTTTTCGCTATTAAAAATGTGACCTTTCAAATGGTTTCCTCCAATTGCATACAGTCGATCATTCATTACAGCCAAAGTGTGGATTGCTCGCTTTGTGTTCATGTCCTGTTTTCGGGCCCAGACGTCCATCACAGGGTCATAGCAGTACAGCCAGGGGACATATTCTCCATTGTGAACACCTCCTGCAAAGTAAATATACTTCTGTTAATCAATGTAAATAAAGACATTGCGCTGCAGCAGGAATTTAGCTCTATGATTTTGGGTTCTGGGTTTTTGTTGTTGTTGTTGTTTTGGGTTGTTTTTTTGTTACATAGCAGGAATTATAAAAGACACTGGCCTGAAATATATATCTTGCCATTGTGAACGGCTCCTGCATGGGCTGCCAAAGGTTGCGGTAACGAAGACACGTAACGCCACTCGTTTGTCTCCAGGTTGTAGCACTCCACGCTGGACAAGTAGCCAGTTTCGTTTCTTCCACCAATTACATACAAGTTCTTGTCAAGGCGACAGGCGTAGAAACTGGCTCTCCTGGAGGACAGGGCAGAACAAAACGAAACAAGCCAACAACAAAGCAATTAGCCACATCAACCATATCTCTTCTGTCTCCAGCTGACTCCCTGAACTAAGATAGCGGCTCCTTCAAATGCGACTTCAGACAGAAGTGTCCAGGAGCTTCACATGCTTACAGCTATCCTAGAGACTGTGGCTGCTTTACTAATCAAATACATGCTCCACATCAAACGAATACTTCATTTTTGGTGTCAAAACAATTAAGCACACATAAATCTGGTATAAAATACCCCTTTTCAAAGCTGTTTGTTGCTTTTTCACACCTGTGAAAGATAAAAAGGTGCTCATTAATGTTTGGGGCATTACCTTGTAAGGGATATAACAACTCAGTAAGGCAAAGTGAAAAATGAGGTAGATAATGTAACAATAATAAATTATCTTGACATTCACTTTCTTTATGGTCCTTCAAGGGTCATTGTTCCCAATTTACTAAGAGAACCACATCATCAAAATTTTTCTTCAATTATCATTTTTTTCTTCTTTCTGCAGTACTGCAAGTAGAACAACTTTCCTTACGCTAGGCACAATATTACATTTCCGCCCTTTAACTCAAAAGAGGTCTGTCTCCATCCAACTAACTCTGAGAAAAGTTTTAGCCACCTGCCCGCTTTCACATGCGGTATATTTCAGGTATGCAGGAAAATACTTAATTTTTGTGGTCAGGACTGCTCAGCATATATTAGTTTGTCTTCCTCATGCCGCCAAAATTAACAGTAAGTGTCTATTGCTGAAGTAAAAATAGAGCAGTAGACAATTCTGAGAGACCCTGTTTGGTGTAATCCACTTTCAGGGAAAATTCCCTGTATTATGCAGCAGCAGGAAGGTTTTCTAGGGTAGAGGCCTTTAATTTTAAACTGCAATGATATGAGAAAGAAAATTGCAAAGAGCACAGCTAGGCTAGGATGAAGACCCGTACAAAATGTTGAATGACAAGAATTGTCAGTCCCAAACCTCAAATTTTCTCCTGGGTGAAACCGGAGTGGTGTGGGAGCCCAGAGACAAGCAGGCAGGTGAGGGATGGCAAGGTCGAGCTCTGACAACTCCTGCGAAACAGGCATGCTGGAGTGTGGCTGCAGCTTGCCAAACCCTGCTCCGTGCCTGACACAATAAGCTCCGGTTCCTGCCCAGGCATCCAAATTTGAATCTGGGAGCAGCTTGCATATTGCATTCCTGAATCGCACAGTAAATCTTGGGGGCTTGACCATCAAGGGCTCAATCCTGCAGACAGCTACAAAGCATTCGGGATGAGCAGTGGTCCATGTACAGAGCACAACACCCTGCAATGAACAGCTCTGGTATGTCCCAACTCCTCTCCAGGCTTCCCTATAGTCATCCCATGACCAGGTGAGCTAGCAAAGCCTGCTGTGCCATGTCTCTAACCTGCCATCTAGCCAGGCACACGTTCAGGAGCATTTCCTTCAGTGAAGGCAGGAATAATAAGATCTCTCTCCTTTACCCAGGTGCCTATTTTCACAAAACTTGTAGTATGCTTTAACATTTTGGAGAAATTTCCCTCTTTGTTAAACGTGGCTGAGACTGGCTGATGGGTTTATAAGTTGGAGGAGAGGTCAGGCAGACACAAAAATACAGCCATGGAAACAGCAGGGCTGGCTGAGCGTTCAGGGAACAGATCTGATGCAACGCCACCTGTTTCTGGCCTTACTTTTTGGATTTGGTGCACACCTGAGAGGGGTCCTCACCCTGGCTGGTGAGGAGCTGCGTCACCGAGCACCTCCTGTCTACCTCTTTGCTTTCATCTTGCCTGCACATGGGCAACTTGGACGGTGCGGGACAGCACCCCTTGTTGAGCAGGAACACTGGCACAAGGATAAGGCTACCAAAAGACAAGACAGAAACAGGAGGACAGGAATGCTGCTAAGTGCCTCCAGCTCAGCTGATGAATTAAATAAGACCATTTAATTTATCTGTCAATGGGCAGATAGAAGCTGATGGCATATATTGCTCTGCATGGTCGGGCAGCAAATTGTGCATCTATGTTTTTAGCCTGATTTTCTATGGAAACAAAGCTTATTTGATTACACTGTACATGTACCCATGTCTGCCTGAGTGTTGTCTCCTCAACAAAAAGCTGCTGGCTGATTTCACTCTAATTTGACAGAGGGTATAGGTGTTAGAGGCAATCAAGTGCCTATATGCTTCCTGAGAGTACGTGACAGGCCAGAGGCAAGACAGGTTGTAGTGGCCTCAAAAGTAGGAAAAGCTGCAGAGGTCACATCCTATGAGACATCAGAGAGCCTGCACGGGTGGGCACACGCTGTCTGACCCTCCTGTGTCTGGCAGCTGCAAGGCACAAACCCATAGGGTGCCTGTCGTCAATGCTTGGGGTGCTCACATGTCCGCTCGTCTGTCCTCGCGCACCTCCTCTGACAAACCCGTTAGCAAACTGCTCTCAGCGTGGGTTTTTGAGTTCAGGTTTAAGAAAAAGAGGTAGGTACAACTAGCAGGCTTTACTATTTTAACTAGGATTTCACTGACATTATTCTGTATGTGTACTCCTGGTTTCATCCACACAGTGTCACTATAAGGAGCAAAAATGAAAGTGTCAGCACACTTCACTCTTCTGCTTGGATGTGAATATTCACTCAGTAGCTCCTGGCACAAATATTTTAAGCTTTTTGATTTTTCACTTTTCAATGGTACAGTGTGTAAGGGGCGTGCTGTTAAGTGATGACTTTTTAAATTGCTGTAAAACATGATTTGGATTAAAATATAATACAGCAATCTTTGCACGACAACTTTCCCCACAAAACTGGGAAGAGACTATCCATCCTATATGAGATAAACGGAATCCACCTCAGGATCTGAACATGGACAATAAGACAATTATTTTGTGGTTTTCTTCAGGATTGCAAGTACTTGACGTTCACTGGTCTCTGAAATGCTTTTCCTTCAAACCCCTTCACTCAATAATCAACCCAACCAAATTCTTCTCATAAGTACACACACATAAAAGGGAAGAATTTCTTTCTGATTTCCACAGATGATGAATTTACACCCTGAAACAAGAAATACAACTACCAGTCTGAAGTTTAAAACTACCAATGCTATTACTGATCACTGCGATATCTGGACCTGATTTCAGTGTCACTGTTAGAGTGTATGCTTTGCTTTTTAAAAACTAAAGTCATCTTAGTAAGGGTTAACATTACTATTATTAAAGTCATAGACTACAATAAAATGTGAAATTGTTCTCTCTCTTTTTCTGCGGCTTCTTTTCAGTTCACTCGGCCTCAGTGAGGATGCTGACCTGCTCGCTTCACTTGTGCTTCTTCAGGCCCTGGTACTATGCCGGGTTTTTTGCTGGTCTTTAAACAGAAACTTTTAACTCAGAATGTAAGAAAAAAGAAGATGTTTTAAATGTTATTATGTTCCACACACCTTGTCCCGCTCTGGGCTGAGCTGGCAAGATGCAACAGTACCGGCTGAGGTGTCCAGCTGAGGCTCATGCCGCAAGTTCAGATACTTCTGCTACAAAGGCCACTCCTTCAGTAGCCATGTTAATCTAACTGAACCGCTCTCCAAAAAGCATCCCGTTGTTACAGCATTGTCAGGCAGACGTGTATTTCAAAAGCCGATGAGTCATTTGCTGTTTCTCTAAACAATGCATGCCTGAAAATAGTACACACTTTTCTTTCGAAAGCATGCATTTTTGAGATGTTCTTCAAATGAAAAGAAACCAAACTTGGCTTTCAAGAAAATACACTGACGGCTCTGAATCCATAACGGATTAGACTTTTCTTTATAGCTCATACAGTAAAATCAATCAGATATGGATTTTAGCATATGAGATAAAAGTTTACTCATCAAATATTTCATATGGATTTCCAACTTGAGAATATACTGCCTGTGAATGAGACCCACATTTACCTGGCAGTCATTTCAAAGGAGCTATTATAGTCTATCCAGCCAATTATTCTCAGACTGAAATTCCTAAGTAGGTTTTGACTTGATGGACCATAATGACTTAGAAGTACCCATTAAACAGTCTGTCTTGTCAATGGTGCCTGCATTATGCCAGCAGAGACAGGGCGTGACCCTGTACTCCTAGCAGGGAAAAAATAGCCTGTTGACTTTAATGGGAACTTTATCTGACTAAAGGAGCTGGGAAAGCAGACTGCATATAAAGCTCTCTCTTGTTTGTATGATCTTCTAAAAACTGGGCCAGACCCTACCTCTAAAGGCTGCAACAATTCTGAGGAAGTCATTAGGGATGAGCAAATAAACCATTAAAATCATTTTAGAAAGTGATTTGAAAATCCCTGTTTTCCAACAATAGCCCCAATGCTTAGGAGCCTTTATAGAGAAATAATGGGCAAGCCTATGAGTTACCGTATCCTGAACAAAAGAGGTGACAATTAACGTTGTCATAGTAAAGCCCCTTGCAGAAGGAACTATGTATGAGTGGACCATTACATTTAAATAATGCTGTAAGGAGCTGAGATGCTAATACATTACAGTTTATTACCGGGCAGCTGCTAAGCAATCACAGTGTGCAGCAGAGGTTCTGACTCTTGGCTGAAGGCAGCAGCTTCCACCAGAGCAAAAGGCAAGTCATATTCCACACCTGCGATTATAAACTGATTTTCTAGTGAAACACAACTGGCCACTGTGGAGGTGGAAAAACTTCTACTGTCTGCTTTCTCCAACCCTCAACTGCCTACTTCTGCCTTCTGAGCTTTGTCAGCCAAGTAAGCCCCACCATTCAGCCAGCCGCATGTGCCCCTCAGGAGTTTTACTTGCAGATACCCCGAGGACCTAATTAGGACACAGATTAGGCTCCACAGAAGAGCTTCAGGCTCCGTACAAACACTAGTCAGCCTCCCGGTTCACTGAAGATGACCTGCACAGCGATGCACAATCTCACGCACACCTCCTGTCTCCCCCGCGCCTGACACCTGAGCCGGCAGTGCCTCAGTCCGGGGAGCTGAACCAGAGGGGAAGGCGTCAGTGTTTTAAGGTAAATAACCCAGTTGTGGGGTTATCCCACAGTGCTGGCAGGAGTGAGGGAGAAGGCTGGGGGCTGCCAAAGCAGGGTCACCTCTTTAGCTAAAGCCTGCTGTTGGACTAGCTCTATTAACAACTAAAAAAGAAAAAGGAATTTTAGTAAAGGACTTTTAAAGTAAAGGATGATGTTATTAATAAAGCCAGAAACTAAAATGAACTGTGATGCTCTTTTTTAATCTCTATTTATATGGCTAATTTTATCAGTTCACTCAGCTCCAACAGGGAACCTCCTCAGATCCGTTCCATTTGTGCTTCTTCATGCAGTGGTACAATGCAGTATTTTTTGGTGACAAGCATTGCACATGGGTCTGCATATGGACCTAGGTCAATCAAACTGAATCCTGAACAAAGGCCCTTCAAAAACTCTACAGACTGACATTTTACCTCCGAAAATTTGAAAGGACAGCCCTATTTCCATGCATGTTGTAATACACACCTCGAATTGCAAGGTTGCACTGAGTTCAATATATTTATGACTGCCAGACACTTGAACACTGGGGGCAGCCAACACAAAAAGAGCTATAATACTGACAGCACATGGAATAAGGAAGGTGTTTTAGGAACGTGGTGTGAGATCTCTTGTACACTGGATCCATGAGAAGATGGGTGTTGAACTGAAGGATGGACATTGAATGCTCTTTCATAGAACAACATTATAACGTTGGATCTTCTGCCTTTGAGATTCTTCTTAGGAAACATGCATCATTCAGTTCAGGTTTGGGGGACTTTTTACCTGCCAAGGTAGGATTTGGGATTCAGAGTTAAGTTTACACCATCTCTACCGGTCATTGCTCAAGCCTACATGCACCTCTGCTCTTCAGTACACAGTCAAGATTAAAATGCATGCTACTCTAACATGCATTAGCTGACAGCAACTTCACTCAAAGACCACCTAGGATTAAGAGTCCTCTGACAAGGTGAGACATGTTGAGGAGAGCTCTTCATGGCTGGCATGGTGAAACAGGATGGAGTCAACATGTGAAGGTTTCAGCTCCCTATAAGATATCTGACTATACTGCTTATTTACTGCAAATTCATCGTGACACTTCAGTCAGGGAACATGACAGGACACTATGAACACTTGAGAAAAATCCTTCAGACCGTACTCAGGCAACCAGTAATTGCACAAAGTCCATGGTTATTTTGCATGAGTTAGCCCTGCAGGATTTGGCATCTGGAGTTTTGAATTTGGAAAGTTTAAAAAAATTAGGAAACAAATGGGAAGCAACTGCATGCTGCAGTTTTATCTCAGTATTTTCAACACTTCTGTAGGCCTCCTTACTCCCAGAACTAAGCCAAACTTCAGCTGCTCCTAGGATGATAAAACATATATTGAAAAACACGTAGCAGGATTTTACCTCTCTTGCATGGGTGGAAGTTGTATCCAGCTGTTAAACCTGGGATCGTATCGGCTAACAAAGTTTGTACTGTGTTTCCCTGTAAAGATAGATTATTTTGACACTCAGCTGTTTGTTTCATGTATTTAACATCATGATTGTAATATATATTACATATACTTCACAAGTTGACAGCTTTTATGAAGGGTTCCCCCTTTTACAACAATGTATGATTACACTATGTGTACAGTAATAATTCAACAAATGGGGCACTGCGAGGTTTGAATTAGCAATTGTTAGCAGTAAAAGCAGATAGAGATTATTCTTGCTCTCTGTAATAAGATCTTGAAAATGTGTATTTAAATTTACTTATAGATGCTGTGGTACTTTCACAGCCACAATAAATTACAGCACTAAACAAAATTACTGCCCAAAAAAGGGCATCCCCACGGTATTTTTATGAGTAGAGTATTTTGTGTCAGGTAAAAAAATCAAAGGGAGAACGTGTGCTTTTCTTTCTCCACACATAGTCTCTACGTGGAACATGGTAAAAAAATCTTGTGCAAATAACCAGGAGCTGCATAAGCCATCAGCACGGGGTATGCAGTGTTTGCACGAGATGGTTTATTCTACCATGTACTTTCAGTGTAAGTTAGAAGGAATTACACATGTGCATCGAAGGGGGAATACACCCTTAGAATTTTATTCCAAGTGTGTTAGCTAAAATATGAAACATGAGCAACATACACCAGCTAACTAGCTTATCCCTGCTGTCAAGCCCATGAACTGTATTCATGTCTTCACGATATTAAGATTTCACCTTATTTTACATGCAGATTGACATCAAAGCAAGAAACCTGAAGCAAGAGAGTGTATGGCAATTTCCTGTAACACCTGCGACTTCAACAGATGAGGATCTCGGAAACAGAAACCTTTGTTTATGTATGTGTGACTAAAAAATTGAATTAGAGGCTTCACAGGCCAGCAGAATAACCCAACTGCGTATGTCACTGTTCTATAAATGGTCACTGGGTATTCTACAAGGTGAATATTTTTGCATCAGAAAAGCCTCTGTAGGATTGGCTCGCTTTGCTTGTTTCATTCCACACTACTTCAGCATGTGTAAACAGACCATCAAGATTGTAGAGAAGAGTAACGATACAGCTAGAATTTATATTCGTAATAATTTAAGGTCATGTTCTACAAGAAAACAGAGAAAGAAACCATGTTGACCACTCCGTCTGGAAGCAAACTCATTCCCTCTCTATGTTATAAGCATGTTCTGTGTGAGGAGGGTAAAGCAGAAGACTGATGAATAATGCAGCATTTCCCTTCAAATCCAGCGTGGTGCCTAATGAGGACCAAAGCCCTTTATGCTGAGCACCACCCAAACACATCTCAAGACATAGGGTGAGACCCCCATACACTAAGGGCAACTGGTCATTTTGCCACTGGCTTTAGTGAAGCGAGGCTTTGCTCTTGGTCCCTATCTGAATTCCTTCAGTCTATACAGACAATTTAGAAAAAGAGGCATTGAGAGCTATAGATTCAATAAACAGTAAAACAGTAACAGCAGGCATCTAACTGGCTCTAAGTGTATGGCAATTTCCTGTAACACCTGCGACTTCAACAGATGAGGATCTCGGAAACAGAAACCTTTGTTTATGTATGTGTGACTAAAAAATTGAATTAGAGGCTTCACAGGCCAGCAGAATAACCCAACTGCGTATGTCACTGTTCTATAAATGGTCACTGGGTATTCTACAAGGTGAATATTTTTGCATCGGAAAAGCCTCTGTAGGATTGGCTCGCTTTGCTTGTTTCATTCCACACTACTTCAGCATGTGTAAACAGACCATCAACATTGTAGAGAAGAGTAATGATACAGCTAGAATTTATATTCGTAATAATTTAAGGTCATGTTCTACAAGAAAACAGAGAAAGAAACCATGTTGACCACTCCGTCTGGAAGCAAACTCATTCCCTCTCTATGTTATAAGCATGTTCTGTGTGAGGAGGGTAAAGCAGAAGACTGATGAATAATGCAGCATTTCCCTTCAAATCCAGCATGGTGCCTAATGAGGACCAAAGCCCTTTATGCTGAGCACCACCCAAACACATCTTAAGACATAGGGTGAGACCCCCATACACTAAGGGCAACTGGTCATTTTGCCACTGGGTTTAGTGAAGCGAGGCTTTGCTCTTGGTCCCTGTCTGAATTCCTTCAGTCTATACAGACAATTTAGAAAAAGAGGCATTGAGAGCTATAGATTCAATAAACAGTAAAACAGTAACAACAGGCATCTAACTGGTTCTAGGTCTCACTATTTAGGACATTTATTAATCTATTTCAAAAAGCAGGATTTCTAAACAATGTAAGTATTGATCGTTAAGTTTGGACTTCTAGTAGGAGGGTTTAATGCTGCCATATGCATTAGATCTTTCAGAGTTACTGGGGACTTCAGTGGTCACTGGTTATATAGCAGCTTTTTAATTGTTGTCATACAAACCCATGATTTGGGGACCTTGGCCTTCTAACATAACGTGTCATACACATGTTCACTACAAATAACACATATGTAGAAGATTGTATGGCGCAGGGTAGAAGGAGAAGGGTTTAGTGAGCCTAGAGTGAGAATACAGGACACAAATCTGGTCACTTCACAGGAAGGGAGATGAAATCAAACTAGAACAGGCACAAAGAAGAGCTACTATGGCGACAGGAAGAACAGAAAGTTTACCGTACGGCAGGAGACAAAGAACTTGGCTTGTTGCACCTAGGAAGACAAAAGCTGAAAGGGGACAGGAGCACTGTCTGTAATACATCAGAGGAACAAACCTCCAGGAGGGGAAAAACTATTAAGCTAAAGGCCAACTCTGGCATGAGAACAAGCTGATTTAGACAGTCAAAGAATACATTTTACTGGAAATTAGAGTAAGGCTGCTAGTCATTTAGAGCAATTGGATTCTGTAACAGCCTTCAGGAGTAGTAGGGGCTAAAAATCCAACTGCTTTTCGAATGGAGCTTAGAAAATTTACAAAATGGGACTATATGATGCCTGTGATGGCAGGAAAAGGACTTGATGACCTACTTAAGCTGCCTGGTGTAACTGTGACTCCAGTTTAATTTTGGAATTCAGTTTGCAAGACAACTGTATCTATTATTTTCCCTTGCTCATCAGTCAGGAGGTTTACACATGTTAGGAAGCACCTGTCAGAACGTAGAAACTGTAATAAGTGATCAGAAATCAGGATTAGCAAATCAGGACGATGGGACAAAAGGAGGCAGATGCTGCTGCTCTCTGCTCTCTACAGGAAGGTCTCTGGAGCCATGCCAAAAGGTGAAGGGCTCTGAAGGTTATGAAGGTTGGTCTTAATCCATGCCTGTGTTCTGCAACCTGCTCTCATCAGCATTTACTCGTGCAGGGATCCCTTGTGACTGGAAGGGGCATAGCCATAGGAGGATGTAAAAGAAAGAGTAAAAATGTCCCCCATGCGCTCTAGGTTATCAGGAAGTCACAGGAGCAGCACGGAGGGTACATGGGTGCTCCTCGGGCTCCACCTGGCTTCTCAAGAACCTGCAGGTCTGATGGCTAAAGAAATGCATGGTGCTCCTTCCATTGCCCTCATCTCAAGGATAATTCTGTCCACTGGAAAAACACCTGGCATATTCTCATTCAAACCAAAAGCCTTGTAATGCTCTGGGCAAGACAGTTCCAGCTAGGTGCATATGAAGCCCCTTCTGTACTATGAGGATAGCAGACAAAGGCCTTTAAATTCAAGTAGGTATGTGCAAGCAGTTCCCATGTAGCTGCACATTTAAAGCAAATCAGTTCCAAGAAAGAACTAGCCCAGCCATAGCATAGGATGCAGTTTATGATTTTCAGGTCCGCTTTTTGCGACAAGTAAGATCCATTTCTCTTGGGGTAAATTCGTAAAGAGATCAGTATCAGCAATGCTTCTACCTCTTTTATTCCTATCTTCTCTATAGACAAATCACAGCTCTGGTATTCATAGAACAAGGAAGCTGTTAGACGTCCGATGGCAACGTCTTCAGCTCAGGAGTTGATTTAGGCGACCTCAGACCTAAGGTACTATCCATCTCACAGTTGTGCTCGACTCCTATCTCAGATGCAGGATATGTACCCGTTCTTACCTGTCCCCATCGTCTTGCGACTCAGTTTCCACATCTTTAAATTGTGGGTAATTATACTTCTTTTCTTTCATCCTTCATGTGACATGGCTATTTAATTATAAACTGCCTGGAACAAGGTCTGCCTCTTACTACCCATATGCCTACCACCAAGCACAACAGGGGCCCTCAGTTGTTGGATGTGGCTGATGCTCCTAATAATAATTATCATTAATGATACCACGCTATCTCCTTTTTAATATAAAGGAGATCCAACAATAGAACTGAAGGGCTCTTCTCCTAAGACATTTAGTGATATTTTTAACTACACCGGAAATATGCTTATAGGGTGGACTGGATTGTTTGTCTCAGGTTTTAGGAAGTGAACAGATGTAACAATTTTCTATAATTTGGTTTAGTGCAGATGCTGAAATGGGGCATTCACAATAAAATATATGCAGTATATGTAATTTCAGCTGGATCCTCTGGTGTTTTAAAGTAAAAATGTGTACCTGCAAGCTGTTTTATGGTTTCTCAGTCATAATTATCTCTGTTACACAGACTGCTACAACTACAACTCTTTCTTCGTGTGCAAGCTTTTTAACAATGTCTTGACAATTTTGTGAATTTTGCAAGGCATGGTATTCTCCTTTTGCTTTGCTCAGAAGCCTGTTAAATTGTTTAATTTCTCTTTGCAGTAAATTTATGAAGTAATCAAATCAAAGAAGGTAGCAGCAGATAATCTATATGAGAAGCTCTTGCACAAGACTAAAAAAAGGACCAGTTAAAGAATCTCGGAGTCTAGATAATTAACACATTAACAACTTTAGCTGTGAGTATCTGGTTTGACAATAGAAAGGAAGCATCTACTGCAATTGCATTATTATATTATATTACGACTGGAAGGAGACTGGAAATGAAGGTTAAAATTCTTAACAGCTGCTGCCTGGTGCATGCACGTGAAAGAGTCTGTTCTGCTGCCTGTGGCATTTCTCAAGGGATGTGGGAGCTGATGAATGATGGAGATGCTAATGCTGAAGTACCAGATATTTATTACATCAGTATCTACAAGTAGCCTTTACTAGGTTCAACAATCAGGCTGAGGGTCCTCAAAATCCCTTGTTAATGATTACATCAGCTGACCTGATGGACAGACAGACAGAGGAAGGCAGATGCTGCCTGTGCCTTTTAATATTCTATACATACCATTAGGGTTCCATTGGTCTTCTCCTCCCAGCACGAACAAGAAGTTTTCCACTTCCACGACACAGTGATGGGCACTGTTATATGGCATAACTGCAAGTAAAGCAAGAATTGTTTGTCAGCTCAGGGCACTGATTCCATCAAATATTTCCAAAGGTACAAAGTACAACACTGGGATTACATCTGTATGAAATAATAGGGGAATGCATCACCCCAAGCATGTATGTCCACTGAATTAGCAGCAGACAAAGCCACTTATTAGTAATCGTACGTTATTCAATCTTGCAAATAATTGAGGAAAAAAGCTGGAATTCTGGTCCCTCAGCGCCCCCCCACCTGTCCAACTGCCGTATATGCTGCTCTAAAAACAACTTGTAAAAAGGGGTGAAGTTGCCCGTTATTTCCCTGAAAATAAGCAGATGCTAGGAATCCTAGTATGCTAGGAAACATTAAAAAAATCTTAGCCCAGCTTTGTTCTGCTGGTAATGTTTCCACAAGAAGAGTCAGTGTGTTCAGTAGCTTTCTATTACACAGCAATGAACAAGCTGCATTTCCATACAGTTTTAAGTTTTTAAATTAAGGTCCTGCTGATTTAATGCCTTTTCCAAATGTATACGCTTAATTTCCTGTACAATGTCATTAGCAGCACAATCACACATTTTCTATTCATCTAATCAGGAAGCCCTTTGTTAACGAAGATCAAAACTGTGGCATTAGGTTTGCAATATCCCTCTTTTTTGGAGGTGGTGTGATTACTATGGACCAACTACAGTCGCAATAATCTATTTTTTTTAAATTTACGTTTTCCACTGCAAATGCTAAGACACAAAAATAAGGACTTACATATACATAATATGCACATATTATTGCGGTGTGCCATACAGCACTATTGTGATATTATATGGTAAATGTAAACTTACACAGCATTAGTTATCATACCCCATAGAGCAGTTTTGGCCCAGTGACACCAGTAGGAAAAATGATGTCCTTGTTCAGCTCATCATATGGGCACCTTAAATCTAGGTGAGGACAAATGGGGAGGTGATGTGCATGTACAGGCAGGGAACTTATTGCTTGACACGGATCAACAGAGCACTTAGGAAACCAGTGCAGTGGGAAATCAATATGACTCAGGGCCAGCTCTTACTTTGTGCTCTTTTGCCAATGCCAAAAAAAAAAAAAAAGAGGCAGCCTATCTCACACTTGGATTATTTTGGGTGATATATCTCTCATTTCATTTGTTTTATTATCTTTTATTTTTCTCAGAATGCAGTTGTGCAGTATAGCATATGCAAATAATAATAAGAAGAAATACGCACAGCTTTGTTATTTAGGACACATTTTCTTAAAGATCCAGTGGGCTCATTTAAGCTTCTTACTGAAGTTTTTGCCAAGGCAATGATGAATAAGTAAGGTACATTTTTAGTTTCTAGTAAAGGTCGAATATCATTTTCATAGTCTGTGCTCTTACAAGTCATGTAAGTGAAGCTGTTCTTAAATTGGGCAGCCAGGTACAGTGAAAGTTCATTAATTAAGGTTATTTGTTACTAGTACACTTTATAAAACTGGGAAGTAATCCTATACTAGGCACTGCATAAGATTTTATACTACCTATAGATTCCTATAGGAAAGAATGAAAAGATTTTTGTTATCTTCTTAGCGCCCATATCATATTTATCTCATTCTTTAATCTCAAACATTTTCCCAATTTAAAATTATCTCTCTCAAAACCCCAGTACTTTCCTTGATTTTGTGGATGCTTGTACTACAGAATGAATTTGGGTCTCCCACGGGAAATTTGCTGTCTTCCTTAGATGCTTTTTGGGACCCCTCCTCTGAAGAAGAGACTCCCCAGGATCAGTCCGCAGGGGCTTCAATCCTTACCTCATTCAATGCTCTGTTATGGTTTCAAATTAGGTCCAAGCCAATGGTTGTACTCTCAACTAGGCTCTTCCTTTGGTCAATCCGGAGAGATCTAGCATTTATCAGAAGAACTGTCTGCAGGCAGCACACATGCTTATTTTTCACATGTTGTGTCTTCATTTTTACGAAGACTTTTGTTTATTTATCCTCCATTTTGACACAAACAGGGCCAGTAGAGGAAGAAATTATATTTTAAGCTTTTCTGCTGTTCCCATGCATATAAACTATGCAATAAGACTCCCACACTTATGATGATAATTAAACCTTGAAAACTAAGGGCTTAATCCTGGCTCCTACTTAACTTGATGGCAACATTCCCACTGATATGGGATTGGGCCCAGATGACCCGAACTACCATCCGTAACTCACGGGAAAGCTAAAGGGAAGCTTGCCTTAGAAAGGAGGGTAGTATTTGGGCTTCAGAAGGAAAGGTGACTGCAATAAAACACTGCAGACCTTTACTATGACCTTTGTTTCTCACAGAGCTTTGAGGAAAACTCTGTTCTTGGTCTCATGAATCTGCCCATGGGGCTGGAGGGGGCTGGACAAAACAGGGAGGACGGAGCAACACTGTGGACATCTAAGAGGGAGGGAGTTTCGGCATTGAAATTGTGAAATCGCCAACATCGCAGTCTTTCTCCCTGACCATTTTCAGGGTCCCTCAGAATCATGAGTTATACACAGAAGTCAAAACTATGGGAATAAACAATTTTTTTTACCGCTACAAAACACCCCCTGAAAGCACCAGGAAACTTGTGCTGTAAACCGTAATTCCCTATGAACACACACCCATATAGGACATAACTTTTCATGGATATAGTCAAAATTACGTGGCAATGAGCCTGCTAAATTCAGCCTCTGTAGGAACAATCTTCTCAAACTCACGGGGCTTGCCAGGGTGTAACAGGAAGAATTTGGCCCATCACACAGTCTGGCCAGGCTGCTGCTTTCATTAATTTTATACGAGCCTTTGTCTGCTGTTTTGCTTTAATAACGTGAAAATCCCATCTTCTCATTTTTCGATTTCAACTCAGTGGAACACCTGCCTGCCCCGCAAAAAGGGTATTTGAAGAGAAGTTTGTACGCCACGCTCAGACACAGCCCGGTGTGAGTTTTTAGCGTGTCAGTCAGTGAGTTAGAGGGAAAGGGTAAGGAGAAGCTAATCAGGATGAAATGAGATTAAAGGCTGTCTAATTTTACAGCAACTGTGATCCATCAGCCACTGTGAAAGTGACAGTGGAAATGAATGATGGAGACAGACAGGTGGGGCTGTACATTTCACTGATTTATCCTCAAATGCACTGGGCCTTATTTTATTGAGTGAACATGACCGCATTTATCATGACTGTCATCTAAACCCACTTCCCTCCATTTAAAAAGGTCACTTTACTAGGAGGGAGTAGGATAGAGGCACTTTCAAAACAGATTCAAAATTTAATAACACATGTTTATAAAACCCTGTGCAAGAATTCTCAACTTTAATAAAGACCGATTTAATAGGAAGGAGAAAAGACTATTAAAAAGAGGAGAAGATGAAAAAAAGCCAGAGTCATCTGAGAAACATGCTTAGCTACCAAGGCGATAGGTGCCAGAGAATTGTGAGACGGACAGATATAAACAGATTAGTCGGAGCGGGCAGAAACCACCTGCTCTAAGCCCCTGCCCCTCACACACGCTTCCCAAAGCTCGGGAGGCCCATGGTTAACAAACTTGTGCTTTCCTGGACCAAGAGCATGAACGAGTCCAAGCAGCCCTACAGAGGACAGCACCCCCACCAGCCCCCTTCCCATGCAATTTATGTGTGATCGGTAGCAGACCCTCGGTAAGGTGGGAGGCAATTTCTCAGGTACAGATATGTAACATGCAGAGCTTTCTAGGTGAAGACCAAATGGGTGATTTATACTTGAGAATGATCTGGAAGGCAGTGGAGTCCAAGACTGCAGTGGTGTTTGCTGAGAAATACTTCACTACACAAACATCAGTGACATTGTGCAGGAGGTGACACTCATGGACGTTCTTCAGACGCAGACGCAGGTGAAAGACACAGCAGCGCTCTTCACATCAGCATAGCTGTCCCAGGCAAAAACTCCTCGCATATGCCAAACCTTAGTTAATGAAAAAGCACCAGATAATGTTCTGGGACCTACTTTCAAAAACAGAGTCTACAGCCTATAGCCTATAGCCAAACGCTCACGAAACCAACCGTAAAGATAATGGATAATGTTCTGGGACCTACTTTCAAAAACAGAGTCTACAGCCTATAGCCAAACGCTCACGAAACCAAACACTCTCAACCGTAACGCCTTGAGGTCAGCCAGATGCAATGATGCTCCAAAGGCACCTCCAACTTTTCTATGTGGGTGACAGTGACACACCTCATTCACCCAACAAACAATAATGTGTGCTGTTTGTTTTACCCAGTTTTGCTTAGTTTCTGCCAACAATTGCACATTTAGGAAACAGCATCTGCTTGTTCTCGATACCTTAATCAAGGGGTCATCAGTACCTTCTTCTCCTTGCAACCCACCTTCCCGTGTCTATCGTCACTTCAACACTAACTAGCAGGGAAGAAGGGGGAACAGGAATGGCATTTCTCAAGACAGAAGGAGGGATGAACTGTGGTCCCAGTTGATCTGAAAGCTGTGATACAGCCCATAGCCATTCCCCTGCTCTGCTAAAAACTCCTTTCAGAAACTGCACTTGATTCTTCTACTCAAAGTTGAAAAAAAAAATCCATAGATTTTTCACTGCCTGAAAATGGTTGCCCTGAACCATTCAGCTGCTTGGGATACAGGAGGTACTGTGAGGAAAGCCAAGAAATCTTCTCCTCAGCTACTGCACAGCTTGAGCATAGCCCCTTCAAGACTCAGTACACACCAAGAAGTCATGCATATCATCTCTAATGACCTGTGCAGATGACGAAAGAAAAGAGTGTGTTTCCAGAACCAGGATGTCATTACCAGAGAACATATGGAGTCAATAATGACCTTCCACAATATTAACAGCCTAACCTGTTGGCTACATAATATTCAACTACTGCTACTTGAAAACTGGTTATTTCCACGGCTCTCCAGAGGGCCGAGTAACATGAGAAGATGTCTCTTTCCAGTACAGAAGGCACCTACAAACTCACTTTTGGAGACTGATTAGCTCAGAGTCATGGCAGAGAC